CCACCACTATCACCACCATCAGGAGACAGGAGCCCGCCCGCCAGCCCGCCCAGCACGGTGTTAAAGGTGATACTGAGTGAAGTGTCTGGTTGACCCCACACCGCACCCGCCCGACAACAGTACGCCCGACCCACACCGCACCCGCCCACGACAACAGTACGCCCGACCCCACACCGCACCCGCCCGACAACAGTACGCCCACGACCCCACACCGCACCCGCCCGACAACAGTACGCCCGACCCCACACCGCACCCGCCCACGACAACAGTACGCCCACGGCCCCACCGCACCCGCCCACGACAACAGTACGCCCACGACCCCACACCGCACCCGCCCGACAACAGTACGCCCGGCCCCACACCGCACCAGCCCACGCCCCACCGCACCCGCCCACGGCAATACGCGCCCCACCGCACCGCCCACGCCCCACACCGCACCGCGCCACAACAGTGCGGCCACACCACACACACACGACAACAGTACGCCCACCCCCAGTGCATCACACACAATACTCACTATACTCACTGTTTTTAATCATCTCGCTTCCTCAGGTAGTTAGGTGTGGTGTGTGCTGAGCTTATGGGTCTCTCTCTCTCTCTCTCTCTCTCTCTCTCTCTCTCTCTCTCTTGATCGATATAGCATTGGTTCGATCGACTGGTAGCTGATCTCTCTATCGAGAGAGAGAGAGAGAGAGAGAGAGAGAGAGAGACCTCCCTCAACACCTCCTTTACGAGATTAAGAGGAGAGAAAAAATAAATAGTCATTCCTTTATTGATTCCTCCTCCTCCTCCTCCTTCTTCTCTTCTTCCTCCTCCTCCTCTTCTCTTTCTTCTTCCTCCTCCTCCTCCTCCTCCTCCTCCTCCTCCTCCTCCTCCTCCTCCTCCTCTTCACACTATACGAACGCTAGTGAGCAGAAAACCTACACCCCCCCCCACTTCCCCTCCTCCCATCCTCTCCCTCATTTTGTTAGGGAAATTAATGTGTTGGACGTGAGGGGGGAGGGAAGGAGAGGTGAGGAGTGATGGGGAGAGGGAGGAGGGCTGGCGATGAGGGAGATGAGGTGTGAGTGAGGGGTATCATGGTGTGGAGAAGCGAGGAGATAGAGAAGGAAAGGAGAGGAGAGTAGAGGTGTAGGGAAGGGGAAGGAGGGGAAGGGAAAGGGAAAAAAAGAATAGTAATAAAAGATAGTAAAACGGGTGAAAAAAAGGGGCGGAACAGAAAGAGGGAAATAAAAGAATAAGAGAAGGGAGGAAGCACATGAGGGAAAAAGAGGGAAAGAAACGGTGGGGGGAGGGAGAGGGAGGGAAGTCTCAGGAGAAAGGGAAAAAAGAGGGAGAGAAATACTAATAGCTGTCGAGGCATAGGATAAGAGAATTGCTTTTTACATCGAGGGGACACAGAAGTAGAGACCTGGAACGACGGTGAGAGCTGGCATTATGTTAACGCTGATGAGGGATGGATAGGTGGGGGGTGGTGAGGAGGAGGGGTGATAGAGCAGTGGCATTATGCTAACAAGGTGTGTTTTCATGAGAGAGAGAGAGAGAGAAGAGAGAGAGAGAGAGAAGAAATATAAACACACACACACACACACACACACACACACACACACACACACACACACACACACAAGCGATGAAAACAAACGTTGAAGAGTTGAGATATTGATAGTGAGAGGGAGGGGAGTGGGGAGGAGGGAGGGAGTGGGAGGAGAGGGGGGAGGTGGGGTGGGGAGGGAGATGACCTTTCCAAGAACGAGGAGCAGAGGAAGAACAAGAGGAACAAGGAAAAGAAGAGGGAAGAAGGAGGAGGAGGGAGGAGGAGGGAGGAAGAGGAGGAGGAGGAAGAGGAGGAGGAGGAGGAGGGGGAAGAAGAGGAGGAGGAGGGGAAGAAGAGGAGGAGGGAGAAGAGGAGGAGGAGGAGGATAGTGTGTGGAGGAGGTACAAATCGTTACTTCAAGTTATCCGGGTGAATGGTGAGCACATGCCTCTCTCTCTCTACCTCCTCAAACTACTCTCCAACCTCCTCCTCCTCAATTACCAACCTCCAACCTCCTCTTCAGCTAACTCACCTCACCTCCTCCCCTCCTCCTCTCCTCATTTCCTCACCTCCCCTCCTCAGCTCCCTCACCTCAACCTCCTCCTCAGCTCCTCACCCTCCAACCTCCTCCTCGAGTCCTACCCAGCTCCTCCCCCCAAAGCGTAGCGGACAACAAATCCAATCAAGCGTGACTCACCTCAACAAGGCCAAGGGTGATTACATTACACAAGGTGATTGTATTAACAGTGATTACACACGACCTCAGCACTGGAGAGGAAACAAGAAACGGGGCTTAGATACGGTTCACGACGGACGGAGACGGGCGGAGAGGGTGGGCGGAGAGGGTGGGCCTAAGGTGGAAGGAGGGCGGGAGAAAAGGTAGGCGGAGGTGAATGGAAGGATGAATGAAGGTAGACGGATAAGAAGGGTGTGGGGGTGGAGAGGGGAGGAGTAGGAGAGGGAGTGGGAGAGGGGAGTGGGACGGCCTAGAGGTACTATGAAGGGGGTGATGGAGGAGAGGCGGTGGGGGCGGAGAGGGGTGATGGAGGAGAGGCGGTGGGGGCAGAGGGGTGATGGAGGAGAGGGGAGGGGCGGAGAAAGGGTGATGGAGGGAGGGGAGGGCGGAGAGGGTGATGGATAGACTTGAGTAAAGACAATTTTTTACAATTTGCTCGCTAGGGGCTGGTTTATTGGGCACCTCTTGACGGGAGGTGAGGGTCAGAAGAAGAGGTTAGGAGGAGAGGAAGAAGAGGGAGGAGGGAAGGGAAGAAGGGAAAGGGGAGGGAAGAAAGGGGGGAGGAGGGGTAGGGCAGAGATGAAGGACGAATGAAAGAAAAACTCCAGGTGAGGGCAGTGAGGGACCCCAGTGACTCTCCCCTCGCGTGCGGTGTGTAGTTCAGGGCCCAGGTGGACCCCCAACACAGTGGACCCCATTGGAAGCTGAATGACCTTGAGGGCTGTGGTAACAATACTACCACGTGAGGGGAGGTGAGGGACGTGAGGGGCGTGAGGGGCGTGAGGGGACGTGAGGGCGTGAGGGGGGCGTGAGGGAGGGACGTGGGGGGCGTGAGGGGGTGGGACGTGAGGGGCGTGAGGGTGAGGGGCGTGAGGGAGTGAGGGGACGTGAGGGGTGGGGGCGTGAGGGGGTGAGGGGGGCGTGAGGGGGTGAGGGGGCGTGGGGGTGAGGGGCGTGAGGGGTGGGGGGTGAGGGAGTGAGGGGGACGTGGGGAGGTGAGGGGTGAGGACGTGAGGGGGGGCGTGAGGGGGTGAGGGGGGCGTGAGGGAGTGAGGGACGTGAGGGAGTGAGGGGGGGCGTGAGGGGGTGAGGGCGGAGGAGTGAGGACGTAGAGTGAGGGGAGTGAGGGGGGGGGTGATGGAGAGTTAGGTTGTGAGGTGTGAGACAAACAACTGTTCTCTAAGACAGTCACAAAATGGCCGCGATACTACACTGAGACTCGACAAAATGGAGTCAATATCACACTAAAACTTCAAAATGGCGGCGATTATGTACCAGAACTCCTCCTCCTCTTCTTCTTCTTCCCAGTACGAGGAAGGGAGGGGGCGGGGGGGAGGGGCAGGGGTTGATTAACGATGTCACTACCTTTGAGAAGTTAATTAAGTCATCTCGTGAATATTGTAAACACGACCAGGTGGGTGGTAGTAGTAGTAGTAGTAGTAGTAGTAGTAGTAGTAGTAGTAGTCCTCCTCCTCACTTTCTCCCTCCTCCCTCCCTCCATCATCATCCAGTTGTTTATTGGTCATTCAGTACTAATTGCTGGTCTCTCTCTCTCTCTCTCTCTCTTCTTCAGAATAACATTGGTCCCATTAATTTTCATACGCGTCTCAAAAGGTCAGACAGAGACAGACAGACACTCAGACATACAGTAAACACAAACTGACAGACAGACAGACAGATAACATTTCTTCACCCACTCGAGCTACGTCACGAGAGAGAGAGAGTAGTTCACACAAGTGGAAGATAATTTTAAGACGCTATCGATTGTGCTAAGTTACTGGTGTGTGTGTGTGTGTGTGTGTGTGTGTGTGTGTGTGTGTGTGTGTGTGTGTGTGTGTGTGAGAGTGTGTGTGAGTGTGTGTGTGTGTGTTTTGTTGTGTGTAGTCTCAACCAACCATATATCTACCCCTCGCCTTGTTTGGTGTTGGTGGTAGTGATGGTGATTGAGTGGGGTGGTTTACACACACACACACACACACACACACACACACTAGGAAAATCTGTAGTGAAGGTCAGATTTCGTCATGTCATCTGTTTTTTCTTCCTGAGTTCCAAGGCAGACCAGTCACGGATTTTTTGGGGGAAATCAACCTGCACCGAACACGTAATCTGTCAGATTTTTATGCAAGTCGGCACAGAATTGTCAGATTTTTAATGCAAGTCGGCACAGAATTGTCAGATTTTTAATGTAAGTCGGCACAGAATTGTCAGATTTTAATGCAAGTCGGCACAGAATTGTCAGATTTTTAATGCAAGTCGGCCCAGAATTGTCAGATTTTAATGTAAGTCGGGCCCAGAATTGTCAGATTTTTTAACGTAAATCGGTCCACTGATGTTGCGGTATTTTGTGTAAATCGGCTCACTTGTGTCAGATTTTGGGGTGAGGGAATCCGGCCAACATATCGATTTTTGTCCGATTTGCATAATATACAGATTACTGGGTACGATTAACGACCCAACGAGGCAGTTTATGGAATGGTAGTTGATGGGATGGGAAATGATGGGAGGGGAATTGATGGAATGGGAATTGGTGGAATGGGAATTGATGGAATAGGAATTGATGGAATGGGAATTTATGGAATGGGAATTGATGGAATGGGAATTTATGGAATGGGAATTGATGGAATGGGAATTTATGGAATAGGGACTCAAGGAATGAACTCTAGTGGAACAGACTGATGGAATGGAGAAAACTGATGGAACAGAATGGAATAGGAATGAACTTACCACTGGATTGAAGAAAATCAGCTCACCCGTCTGTCAAGTTGAGGGCGGTGATAGGGGGAGACGTGTGCCGGATAGACGGTGTTGACAGACTAGATTGACAGACCAAAAAGGAGGCAAGCGTTGATGGACAGGCTTTGATAGACAGGAATTCAAGATAGGATCCGTTGATAGACAGAGATTGATGCCAAGATCCGTTGATAAACAGGAATTGATGCCAGGATCCGTTGATAAACAGGAATTGAGGCCAAAATCCGTTGGTAGACAGGAATTGATGCCAGGATCCGTTGATAAACAGGAATTGAGGCCAAAATCCGTTGGTAGACAGGAATTGATGCCAAGATCCGTTGATAAACAGGAATTGAGGCCAAGATCCGTTGACAGACAGGAATTGAGGCCAAGATCCGTTGATAGACAGGAATTGAGGCCAAGATCCGTTGATAGACAGCAATTGATGCCAAGATCCGTTGATAGACAGGAATTGATGCCAGGATCCGTTGATAGACAGGAATTGATGACACGTTGATTGACAGCAACTGAAGACACGACCCGTTGATAGACAGGAGTTGAAGACAGTATCAAACAAAACACTGTCACACACTAATGAAGGGCACTGTAAAACGACCCCTTTGTTCACACGAATTTACTGTTTACACCAACTAATCCAGAACACAGTGGAGGGAGGTAGTGTGGAGGGTGGGGTACAGTATAGTGAAGAGCTCTTTGTGTGTGTGTGTCCAAAGGCCCTCACTGCACAAGATGTTGAGACTAACTGCTCTCAGGCGACCCACACGACGACTGGTGTAGGCTTGTGTGTGTCATGCTTTAGTTCGGGCTCTTTCGGATGTTCTCGGTGACTCAGCGGAAGGGGAAGGGGAGGGGTGTGGTGAGGGAGAGTGGAGGAAGGGGGTGTGGTAAGGGAGTGGTGTAGTAAGGGAGGTGGTGTAGTGAGAATGAGGGAGGGTGTGGTCAAGGCGGGGGCGGAGGGCGGAGGGAAGGGGAGACGGATGTAATTTCTAAAGGATGCGACAAAAATTTTTCCCGGAATCCTTTGTTATATGTGGTGACTGTATCATTGTAGTGTGATGATGATGATGACGATGATGATGATGATGATGATGATGATGATGATGACGATGATGATGACGATACTGGTGATGATGATGATATTGACGATAAATAATATATAATAATATATATATTAATAATAATAATAATAATAATATGACTTTATCTTACTATGACATTTAACTCTCAAAATAATATAGTGAACATTAATAATTGTTCATATTGTTGTTCTGTGTTCTAGATGATGAACAAAAGTGAACAATATCAGTTGTTCATCTTGTAACATCACATTGTGGGGAAAAATAGAACACACACACCAAGGCCTCCCCGCCCCCTCCCCACCCCCCTCCCCGACCTACATCCCCAGCTCAAGCAACAGGAAGACGTCACCAGTTATCTTGTCCTGTCCTGTTCCGTTCCGTTCCGTTCGTTCCGTTCCGTTCCGTTCCGTTCCTGTCCTGTTCCGTCCGTCCGTCCATAAGAGAATTTGTATTCAAATTTTCCTCTCTACTATCTCGCTAAGTTATCCTTGGAAATCACAGTCTTGTTACGTGTTAGATGGGGGATAGAATAGAGGGGAGAGGGTATGAAGAGGGATGGAGAGAGGATAGAGAGAGGAGGGTAAAGAGGGGAGAAGAATTTCATTAGTAGGACGTCTTTAATCCTAGAGAGAGAGAGAGAGGAGAGAGAGAGAGAGAGAGAGAGAGGAGAGAGACTTTCACCTTCTTCAATTCTCCTCACTATCTCCCCCCCTCCCCCCTCTCCCCTCCCCTCTCCCTACCCTAAACTGCCTTTCCTTCTCTCCTTCCTCCATCAGCTAACATAGGGAGAGAGGGAGAAGGCTCAAGAGGACAGTGTCAGATAGCCTCCCTTGCTAGATAACCTCCCTTGCTATTATCAAATCAGACGGGGCTAAATCGGACCGCCTTCACCCTGGGTCCAACCATAAACAAAGGCTGGCTGAGTGGTCCATGCTTTGTCAGCCCCCCCAAGAAGTTATTGGCAATTTATCCGCCCGTTCGAATCCCCCCCAGAACTTTTACCCAATTATCCGGCGAGTACTCAACATCTGGTAGAGTACATGAAATCGAGTACTCAGGATTAGACGAGTACGTATGATTTTGATGGGGTTAGGTACATGAAACACACCAAAAGAATGTCATTTGAACTACCTAACCTAACCAAAACCTCAAACCAAACCAACCTCCAAACCTACAAGCCTAACCAAACCCAACACCTCCTCTACCAAACCTAACCTACCAAGCCAAACCTAAGCTCAACCAACCAAACCAAACACACAATCTAACTCACCAAGGTCTATCTTTACACCTCGATAACAAAAGCTAATTATAACCAAACTCTAGAATCCCATGTTATAATTAAAGCAACAGGATATGGGCCGACAGGATATACTTCCATGATTATCTTCAACAACACCCTAGCTGCTGATAATTTTGTGTTTTTTTTGTTTTCTAAATATGTTTTTGTTTTATTTAACTGTTCATATTTTATTCAGTAGACATTTTATGATATTTTTATTTTCATTTTACGATTAATATATGTCTGTCTGTCTGTCTGTCTGTCTGTCTGTCTGCCTGTCTGTCTGCCTGTCTTGTCTGCCTGTCTGTCTGTCTGCCTGTCTGTCTTCAAGTGAATTTTGTTAACTACGCATCGCATCGCATCACACACACACACACACACACACACACACACACACACACACACACACACACACACACAAGGCCGAGTGTGTGGAGCGTAAATTGACATGATTAATAGTGAAGAAATGCATGACAGGAGTGTATTATGGATGGGCGTTCTATACATGTGGGCGGCCTATACATGTGGGCGGCTCATTACACCCAATACCTATTCTTCATGTAAAATGGTGAGGAAAATGGGAAGGTTTCTTATTAAAATTGTTGAGGAAATCAGTCGTGTTTTCCTTTCTGTCTACCAATTTCCTCATTCCAATCCCTCCCCTTCTCCTCCTTTCCTCCCTCACAAAGGTGGTGATGGAGGGGGAGAAGGTGTGGTGGTGGGGAGAAAAAGGTGTGTGGTGGTGATGGAGGAGGAGGGGGAGGGAGAGGTGCGACCAGTTATCATGCAACATCCACCTGTTGGTTACCTGAGTGGGGAGGGGGAGGGAGGGGAGACGGGGGGGAGGGAGGGGAATGCGGAGGCCTAGTAGAGGTTGTATCTGGCCTGGGTGATGGTGACAGGTCAAACGGGCCCCAGTCCAAATCTTATGGGGCCCCAGTCTACCAATCTAACCCAACCAACTGTGTGTGTGTGTGTGTGTGTGTGTGTGTGTGTGTGTGTGTGTGTGTGTGTAGTCATGTCCTTATACACATGACTCACTTCAACACACTCACCACCACCATCACCACCACAGGATACCTCCGCACCTCCTGTGATGACCAGAATTTAATGTCACAATATATATATACCATTTGTCATCTACTCCTGTCTACCTACACTAATCTACCGTCTACCCACACTAATCTACCGTCTACCTACACACTAATCTACCGTCTACCCTCACTAATCTACCGTCTACACACTAATCTACCGTCTACCCACACACTAATCTACCGTCTACCCACACTAATCTACCGTCTACCCACACTAATCTACCGTCTACCCACACTAATCTACCGTCTACCCACACTAATCTACCGTACACACTAATCTACCGTCTACCCACACTAATCTACCGTCTACCCACACTAATCTACCGTCTACCCACACTAATCTACCATCTACCCTCACTAATCACACGTCTACCCACACTAATCTACCGTCTACCCACTAAATCTACCGTCTACCCACACTAATCTGTCTACACTTAATCTACCGTCTACTCATCAATTTCGTGTTAATCCTCGTTCTTCATCAACTTTCACTCAGTTATTCTACTCTCTACTTTCACTGAGAGAGAGAGAAGAGAAGTGCTACGTAACGAGGGAATCATGATACCCACTTGAGGGCAGTTAAGGTGACAGCGACCGGCGTGTTAGAGAGATTCCAACTTGGTACTGGGCATGACACACACACACACACACACACACACACACACACACACACACACAACAGGAAAGGTGTTTACATGGATTATCTTACGTTCACAGAAGAGATAATCGGCCCTTTGTATCGTGTGTTACTGTGATGTGTCAAGACTCTCTCTCTCTCTCTCCTTCCTTCTCTCTAATCTTGTCCTCATTTCTCCTCCCCTCATCTCCTCCCCTGAACTCCTTCATCTCCTCATCTCCTCCCCTGAACTCCTTCATCTCCCTCACCTTCCCAGTCCCTCTTCATATCCTCCCCTCCGCCCCCCCTCCCTCCACACACTAGGACGCAAGTGAAAAGGTTATCATGAGGGGAAGGTGAGAGGGGGAAGGTGAGAGGAGGAGGAGAGGAGGGGAGGGAGGAGAGGGGAGGGAGAAGGAGGAGGAGGAAGGAAGGGAGGAGTAGGAGGAGGGGGAGGAGGGAAGGAGGAGGGAGGTAGGAGGAGGGTGAGGGGAGAGAGGTATTGCAACATTAGCAACACGCCCCTAGCCCTGCAATAACGGGCGGGTTAGACGTGGCATCAAGAGCCCCATTGAGAGGGCGGTGTAAGGGCTGACATGACCCGCCCACACACCCGACCCACCCACACCACTACGACCCACCCACACACACACACACACACTACAGCCCACCCACACTACATGCCACCACACACACACACACACACTACGACCCACCCACCCACCCACACACTACCCTCTCTGTTTACCTCCTCAACACGCTACTGTGACGTCCGCATGTTAATTAAACTAGAGTCAGGTCGATCACCAGGTCAAGTCACCAGGTCATAGTCACCAGGTGAGTCACCAGGTCATGAGTCCTGGGTCAGAGTCCCAGGTCATGAGTCACCAGGTCATGGGTCACCAGGTCACGAGTCACCAGTCATGAGTCACCAGGTCATGAGTCACCAGGTCACAGTCACCAGGTCATAGTCACCACCAGGATCGACTCATTATGGTGACGTTATTATCTAGATTAAGTCACAGATGTTGTCACCGTGTGTGTGTGTGTGTGTGTGTGTGTGTGTGTGTGTGTGTGTGTGTGTGTGTGTACAGCAGCAAAATGCGAGGAAAAAACAGCACGCACGACAATCGAGTCTTTTACCCACTAACACTTACGGATTTTCAGTTTCGGACAGATAAATTTAATGGACCCGATAACCGATACGATAAGGAATGGGGGTGAGGGAGGGAGGAGGGAGGGGTGAGGGAGGGGATGAAGCGATAGAAGGAGAGGGAGACTGTAGGGGGGAGGAAAGGAGAGGTGAAAGGGAGGAAGTGTAGGTTGGGGAAGAAAAATGAAGAGTTTAGGTTATGGGGGCTGTGAGGTGGGGGAGTGGAGGGGTTAGAGCCAAGGCACATCATGGGTTGAGGTGTGGGCCGGACCAACAGTAGCGGAAACAACACTATGGGTATGTGGGCGGTGGCTTTTTAACCTATAACAGACCCCTCCTCACCACCCCCTCCCCCTCCTCATCACCCCTCCTCTCTCCCCCCCACTACCTCCTCACGATAACGACACACAATGATGGCGTTATCAACACCACACACACACACACACACACACACACACACACACACACACTTTCTCTCTACGTATAAATTCTTATCGAG